TCCTATACCCTTCGTGTTGCCTTGTCTCCCTACGACTAATATAAAATAAAAGTAATCATAGATGTAATTCTTCTTGGTATATTGAAATTTGAGCAAACTCGTCTTGGTGTATTGAGCTGACTCGTCTTGGTGTATTGAGCTGACTCGTCTTGGTGTATTCACTTATTTTACAGAGAAGAAGACGATATAAAGTTATCATTATCTTAGAGATAAGAAGAAAAAGAGAGAATTATCCTTCTTCGAGAGAGAAAAGAAAAAGCAAGTCCTTTCTTTGTAGAGAGAGAAAAGAGAAAAAATAGAAGAAAAAGAGAGAATCAAATATTTATTTTAGAGAGAGAAAGTCTTTAGAAAGCAAAGAAGAAATCAATGACCCCAAAAAAGTTGGTTTCTTGAAATACTATTCTAACCATTGAGTTAATAATGGATTTTTTTTTTTTCCTATGGACTTAGCCTGAAAAGGTGAATCACGTAAAATCTTTAAGTTATTTGCATGCTTTGCCCACTCATACACACATCCATCGACTTGGGCATATGTTTGTATCGCATATATCTGTGTTCTGCTGCGCATTCGCATTCATGCGAGATGGCTCTAATTGGATGAGCCTAACATTGTATACATTGTCGAGAAAAGTAATTTATTAAAAATTTTAAAATTTATAATAGGAATTTATTGCATCTAAGATATCTGAAAATTAGTTACACTAACATTCTAAACTCATTATTAATATTTTAAAACATATAAAGTTACTTAGAAGCATTTATAAATTTATTATAAGAAGTTTCAAAATTGGTAACAAATTTTTTCAAAAGAATGAAAAAAATTTGATGAATGAAGTTTCATTTTTATATTCTTAAAATCCTTAAAAAATTTGGTCAATGGATCATCAATGAATAAAAGCGTTAGGATTAAGAAATTTAAAAAAAAATTGAAAACTAATTTCTGTTATGAAAATTATAATTAGAACAAAAATGTGGAAATATTAGAAACGAAAACAAAATGGACATAATTTTTTAAAATATTAAATATTTGTTTTAAAAGAATTTAAAAATAGACACAAGTTGTTTTATGAAACATAAATCTTTACACTTTGATTTATAAGTTCAAGAGATATAAAAAAAAGAGGCAGATATGGTTTTATATTTTTTGTAATTAAGAAAACACAGTTTTTGGAAATTTATAAACTGGCAATAAAAAGCAAGAAATTAGTCAAAAGAATTTTAAATAAATTTAAAACTTAAAATATTAGAAGGAAAGATTTCTATTTTGAAACTTTTGTATTTTTCTTAATAAAAATGTAAAAGAACAATACATAAATTTTAAGAATCATGAAACAAATAAATAAAGTTTTAGGAAAAATCCAAACTTTTTCAAAAAGAAAAGTACTTTAAAATATAAATAAACCAAATCAAACCCATTTTTCACAAATTTTGGTATTTATACAATGTTTGCTAAATATAATTAAGTATATAAGATTTACATGAGTATAGCAACATTAATCATCAAACAAAGCATGATATTTTTCTCAATTGGAATAAAAATTTAACGAATTACTATAGGTGGAACATGAAAATTATTAGCAATTCTCAAATCAATTTTTTAAAGAAATTAAAATAAGATCATGAAACAAAATTAGTTAGGAACATATGCGTATGTAATTCAAGTAAAATTACTACATGACTTAGTAAAGGTGAGGTTTCTCTATAATGAAGTTATTCTAGACCTTACTCTACGGTATATATGAAATAATAAAAACTAAACAATTTTAAAAATATAATTACAACAACTTACATTTAAACATGACAATGTTTGTCCACCTTCAAAATATGGGAAGAATACCTGAAAATTAATTTAATAAAAACACAATAGGAGATTATGAAAAAGTAAATAGGAGAATACTACAACTTATCTTCAATATGAACCTGGGAAACAATACATGAAAAAATTGCAATTATGAAGTTTAGTTTGAGAGAAGTAGATAATAACCCACCTTCTCTTCCCATGGAAACTTCCATGTTGGTATGGAGCAAACACATCCTTCTAACACATATGGCTTGCGCTCTATTACATGCTAGGACGAGTTATAAATCATAATTTTTGTATCACTTTTTATGTTGAAATCACTGCATACTTTTTACGTAGAAATGATTGCATAGTTATTATTTAAAGGAAAAAGTTTACATAAAGTTGTAACGTTAAAATTTAGAATTGCATATGCATCTAAAAAATCCATCGAAAAAGGTTGTTTTAATGATAAAAAACCTCTAATTGATCATCTTGACATCGAGATGTATGCATATGAAAAAAAAAAAAAGATTTTGAGTCTCATAAATAGTGCATCTTGCAATACATTATATAGATTGTCCATTTTCATGACTTTCATATGTTTATAGATCTACTTGATTTTAACCATTTTTGAAATTTAAAATTTTATAATTAGATATGAAAATAGGTTTTGAGATAATCCTAATAATGTTTTTACCAAAATTACATGTTATGATAAAATTTGGAACTCAGCCTTAATTGGATTGTTTAAGGTTGCAACTTTATAGAAACCACACCCTTATTTGAAACAAATAAAACTCCTTGTGATGCAACGCTTGTACTCTAGTCGATATCAACATAAATTTTAAATCATAATTTATGCATCATGTATGTAGAAATGACTGCATATTTATTATAATTCAATTGAGTTTCGTAGTAAAATTGAAATAGCATGAAATCATTTTTTATTATTTTGGGGCACGTTTAGTTCGTGTGAAATATTTTTCTTGAGGAAATTAATTTCTTAAGAAATATATTTTTTAAATTTAGATTTCACATATTTTTTTTTTCTTACATTTGATAATACTATTTAGATTTCCTAGAAAATTGTTTTCTTTCGTTTGGTAAACTATTTGGGAATCTACCATCTTAGAATCTAGAATGTAAGCTATTGTCTCTCTAGAAATCCAATATGTCTTTCTCTCTTTAAAAATCCAATCGCTCTCTAAAACCTATCAGCTCTCTCTAGAAACCCAATCTCTTTTTTTCTATCTAAAATTTTTCTCTATCTAGAAACCGAATCTCTCTTTCTCTTTCTAATAATCCATTATATCTCTCTATCTAAAAACACATTCTCTCTCTAAAACCCAATCTCTCTTTCTCTTTCTAAAAATCATGCTCTTGTTCTCTCTCTAAAAGCCCATTTCTCTTTTCCTCTTTGAAAACCCATTTCTCTTTCTCTATCTAAAAATATATTTTTTTCCTTTAAAAACCAATTTATCTCTAAAGACCCATTCTCTCTCTAGAAACTCAATCTCTCTTTCTCTCTACAAACCCATTTTCTCGCTCTAGAAATCCAATCTTTGTTTCTCTCTCTAAAAATACATTCTATTTGAAAACCGAATATCTCTCTCTAGAAATCAATTATCTCTCTCTAGAAACTCATCTCTCTCTAAAGCCAATCTCTCTCTAAAACCCTTTCTCTCTCTCTCTAGAAACCCAATATCTCTCTCTCTTTTTAAACCCATTTTCCTTTTCTCTATCCAGAAACCCAATATCTCTTTCTCTTTTTAAAAACTCATTCTCTCTTATTTTTTAAATATCTAATATCTCTTATCTCTCTAAAAACTATTATCTCTCTCTAAAAATGTAATCTCTCTCTAAAAACCCATCCTTTTGCTCTTGAAAGCTAATCTCTTTTTCTCTCTCTAAGAATCCATCATCTCTCTGGAAACTAAATCTCTCTTTCTTTATCTTAAATCCTATTATCTCTTTCGCTCCCTTAAATTCATTATCTCTCTAAAAATCCAATCTATCTTTATCTCTAAAAACCTATTCTCTTTCTAGAAACCCAATCTTTATCTCTCTCTAATAATCTATTCTATCTCCAGTATCCAATCTCTCTCTAAAAACCCAATATATCTTTCTCTATCTAAAACTCATCCTCTCTAGAATCCCAATCTCTATTTCTCTCTCTAGAAACCCATTCTCTCTCTAGAAACCCAATCTCTCTTTCTCTATCTAAAAACCCTCTTGCTCTCTTGAAACCCAATCCCTCTTTCTCTCTCTAAAAATCTAAGCTCTCTTTCTCTCTCTAAAAATCCAAACTCTCTTTCTCTTTAAAAATTCAAGCTTTTTTTCTCTCTCTAAAAATCAATTTCTATCTCTAAAAACCCAATATCTCTTTCTTTTTCTAAAAATCAATATCTTTACCTCTCCAAAAACCTAATCACTCATCTCTCTTTAAAAACTCATATCTCTTTCTCTCAGTAAAAACCCGATATCTCTTTTTCTCACTAAAAACCCGATATCTCTCTCTCTAGAAACCCAGTACTTTTTTAAATTTCGTAAAAAATATTTTTGGCTTACTACAAACAAAAAAAGTTAAATAACATAAAAATTAAAAAAAGTGGGGAGGGGGGCTTCTTAATGGGCCAGGTAGGGCCCAAGCCCAATATATTATTTTTGGGTTGGG